CCCCGTTAGGCGCTAGACATTGGGGCTTGAATCCATCAATGCCGACCAGTGATTGTATTGTGATTGTGTAAGTGATCGTTGCGACTTGACGTTTCATGCGGCGATAGGAAAGATAGCGAGATACGACACGTCGGCCAGGCTCCACACCACCAACGGTCACGAGTCACGGGCCACGGGCCACGAGTCTCGACGCTCCCAACACTCAACATGTACATGATGACACGGGCTTGGAATCGCATCCATGGGAATCGCGCACTCGACTACACGCCGCTCCCGTTGACAGAGAAGGAGCCATCGTCCTACACCAGGACACGGCGGCATGTCCAAGCACACTGGCTGACCGCTGGGCGCGCCGTGCAGGTCATGGCAGCCCTCTTCTGCGTTTACGGAACGATACGGTAAGCATCTCTACGACTACCATGGACGGAAACATCACCCACAAAGACTAGATACTGATGACAGCGCAGTCTCCTTTCCACCTTCAATCCTGACCCTTGCGACACCATCGACAAAGGCTACCGTTGCAGCCCCAAGACGTCGCACTTCTGGGGCCAGTATTCGCTGTGGTATGCCGTACCCTCAGATATCGATGTCGCACCCCCCAAGGGCTGCCAGGTCACTTTTGCCAACGTCCTCTCGCGACATGGTGGCCGCGATCCGACCATGGGCAAAACGATAGCCTACCATCTTCTGATCGCCGAGATACAAAATACTAGCACGGCATATCCCGGAGAGTTTCGCTTTCTGAAAGACTACGAATATAATCTCGGCGCCGATCAATTGACAGAGGCTGGGCGACAAGAAATGGTAAACTCAGGCGCGCACTTTTATAACCGCTATCGCAGCCTGATTCAGAACAATCCTCCTTTCGTTCGCGCAGGCGGACAAGAGCGAGTAGTCGAGTCGGCAGAGAAGTGGCTTACAGGCGTCGCTCAGGCACAAGGGAAGAAGGCAAAAGAAGTCCATCTGATCATCCCAGAAGGAACAAAATGGAACAACACTCTCTCCCATGACACATGCCCTGCCTTTGTCACTGGGCCCAGCCATGGCCTGGGGGGAAGAGCAATGGGGACTTGGGCGTCCATATTCGTACCACCAATTCAGGAACGCGTCAACAAAGCCTTGGGTACAAACCTTACCCAAACCTCAATCATCTACCTAATGGACATGTGCCCGTTCGACACTCTAGCCAACCCAAAGGCAAAGATGTCACATTTCTGCAGACTGTTTACTGGCGAGGAATGGCGTGCATATGACTATCTGCAGTCGCTGGGCAAGTACTACGGCTACGGCCCGGGAAACCCACTAGCTCCCACCCAAGGTGTCGGCTATGTGAACGAGCTTCTCGCACGGCTGACTGGACTGCCAGTCAAAGATGACACCAATACCAACCGCACCCTCGACTCTGACCCTAAAACCTTCCCACTAGATCGCAAGGTTTATGCGGACTTTAGCCACGACAACGACATGAGCCAAGTGCTCGCAGCGCTCGGTTTGTACAATAACACGAAACCTCTCTCAAACACGACTATCGAGAGCACCGAGGATACAAATGGTTACTCTGCCGCATGGACGGTGCCATTTGCCGCGAGAATCTATGTGGAGAAGTTACAATGTGTGCAGGACAATGACGATTACGTTCGTATCATCGTGAACGATCGTGTGCAACCCCTAGAATTTTGTGGAGGAAACAAGTATGGGATGTGCACGCTGAGCGACTTCGTCGCAAGCCAGAGTTTTGCAAGAAGCAGTGGGAACTGGGGCCAGTGCTTTGAGTAACATCTACCGCAGTTGAATGTTTTATCTTTGACAGGGAGAATTAGGCCTTTGCCAGCGTAACTTAGAACATGGTTGCTTCGTTTTCCACTAAATTCACATTATCGAGCCTAGCAGTAGTAGGCATGATTAAGACATGCTTTCTATCAAACGAAAACCCAGGGCGATACCACCTTATGCTAGATAAATGCAGCAACCTGCGCCACGCCATATATTCAATCCCATGTTGTACATAGGAACCTTCATAATATCTAAGATGTTTCACACAACCAGCAAACACAAACCACATCTCTCACGCGACATGGCCTCATTATCCAAGCCCAAAGCATTCACATCTGGCAAGCCCAGCCAATGGAAGCAAATATCACATGCACCATGTAGCAAATAACAACCCATAAAAGGAAAACCATGGCCCACAGGACACAAGATACCAATTTGCACGCCCACATCACAACCTTTAACGACTTCTTATCTTATCCAAAGAACCATTGTCCGTCTGTTGGCTCAGTAGAGCACGTGGAACGCAGTTTTTCAGTGTGCTCTTTATCGGTTAGCTAAGGAAAAAGGGGACAAATGGGACAGAAACTTAGCATGTTATAGAGGCATATGGGGTTTAAACTGAGATTTGACAAGGAAGTGTGGAATGCGTCTGTGTCGGAGCCTGTGTCTAGGGATGAGCGGGCAAACTCGTGCGGACACAGGTCTTGGGTATGCAAAACTTGTTCTTGCCATCTTTCTGCAGAGGACTCCGTGATGCGGTATATGTACGAGGCTCACGCATGATTACAGTATTTCACACAGCATAATACGAAAGCACGTCAACAGCCACGACTGCAGAAACCAGGGAGAAAGTCCAGGAATCACAAGATTCAAAGGCAACAACCACAACACCTGAAGCTTCATCGACAACAAATTCACCCCGCAAAACAATGCAAGGCCAAACTCTACACCTTCCACCACGGCGGCCCTAATCGCGCTCGAAAAGGACACATGAAAAATGACATTACGCTCGAGACGCCCTGTTTGAGCGTAGCATGTGCGACTTGTTGGCATTGGAGGGCTATGGAGATGGTGGTGTTGCATGGTCCCAGGGCTAGGGAATGGTGTGGGATTACGGAGAGGAATATGTGAGGAGCGGACCACTATGGCGATTGCTAGAAAAGCTCTAAACCGTATTGCTTGTAGACGATTCGGTCTAGGTAGGTTTTTCGCGGACCCGAGCAACCAGAAGTAACAATGATCGAAATCTCGGCACCATGCAAGAATAAGAGCTTGTGCGCAACCTGGTGGGGTGAACCGCTTGCATAAGGAACACGTTATCCCCAATGAGACAAATCTTTTTAGATCGCTGCTGAAGATCATCTGGATTGTGAGGGAAGCGAGGACGCTCCCGGAATCAAAATGTGGTTTGAGGATGTGTCGCGATGGCGGCAAAGAGATAATAGAGTCAGATTTTTCGATCTTTGTTGCTTTGAATGAGAACTCGGAATTAGAGACGAGCGAGGTCGTGCAATACGTCGAGCGGGAGTACCTGGCTTTATCATGGGACGCCAGACTTGACCAGTCATGATCGAATGGCAAATGATGTTTGTAACTAGGCTGGTAAATCTAGGTTAGTGTACACTAGCTATGGTACTGGGTTAGGTTTAGGTCGCACAGACCTAGTGCTTAGGTTAGGTTTAGGTCACATAGGCTATAGGCTTAGTTTAGGTTTAGGTTATATAGGCTATAGGCTTAGGTTAGGGTTAGGTTATATAGACCTAAGGATATTAGGTTGCGAACTTTTGCTGTTAAAGTACCAAAAAATTAGCTTGTGCGTTAGGACGCTAGACAGCGCTAGCTAGCGCTGGCTAGCGCTAGCTAGCTTAGCAAGGAACATTAAAACTTTTGCACTAACTTTGCCGCCAAAACTACTAAAAGTACGCTAGACAGCAAAAGTACGCTAGACAGCAAAAGTACGCTAGACAGCAAAAGTACGCTAGACAGCAAAAGTACGCTAGCACGCACCACCCACCACCTACCTCAGCACCTACTACCCACCACCCACCTTAGCACCCACCACCTACCACCCACCTTGGCACCCACCACCCACCACCCACCTTGGCACCTACCACCCACCACCTACCTTGGCACCCACTACCTACTACCTACTAGGAAACGTTATTCGTCTAGGTTATAATAAGAAAAGTGTCCTAGTTATAAGCTCTACCTTACCTAAATTAGTTAACATCCTGTAGCTAGTAAATTAGTACTGCAGGGGATGCCGCTAGATGGCCCGCAACTAGTATTAATAGTATTAGTGTATAGTATTAGTAGATATTAGTATCTATACCTAGTTATATAGTGTTGCAGAGTTTTTACCTATAGTAACTAGGCAATAGCTATAACCTAATATCCTATATTAACTAAAATCTATTAAAACACACCTAATTATTATACTTTTTATCTTATAGAAATATTACTTACTTAATCTATATTACTAACTAACTTAGATAACTCTTAGGTATCCTCTAAGGCTTTATATAAGGTTATTATAGAGCCCTATACTAGTAGTATTACGTGTAATACTAAAGTTTTTAATAAGCAGAGCTCTAAGTTAGGTAGTAACTCTAATATTAATAAGCCTAATTAGGTAGCTATATAACCCCTAGAGGATAGGGACAAAGATAAGGAGACTAAGTAGGAAGAAATATTAGATTCTAGGTTAGATTCTAAGCTAGTTATTCTATCTAATACTCCTAATATTCTGCGTGCGCCTTATAGCTATTAATATTATAATTACTGCCCTTGCTACTAGGATTATAGGGACGTATAGGGTAAGGTTAGTAAAGGAGACTATAATCTTACTAACCTCTAGGACCTAATAAGTATTAAGCGTAACTATCCCCTACTACCTAAGACTATCTACCTAAGCTTTAATAAGGTAATAGAGGCTATTAATAAGTAGGGTAGGACCTACATATTATAGGAAAGTTGTTTCCTACTAGGAAATAACTCTAAAGAGGACTATATACTACTAGTGTCTTGCAGGAAATAACTATGCAAGGAAAATTAAAACCTAAAACCTATTTCCTGTAACCCCTACTACCTAAAACCTGTTTCCTGCGACCCCTGCCTAAAACCTGTTTCCTGCAAACCTAGACCTAAAACCTATTTCCTACAAACCTAGACCTAAAACCTATTTCCTGCAAACCTAGACCTAAAACCTATTTCCTGCAAACCTAGACCTAAAACCTATTTCCTACAAACCTAGACCTAAAACCTATTTCCTATAAACCTAGACCTAAAACCTATTTCCTATAAACCTAGACCTAAAACCTATTTCCTATAAACCTAGACCTAAAACCTGTTTCCTGCAAACCTAGACCTAAAACCTATTTCCTGCAAACCTAGACCTAAAACCTGTTTCCTGCAAACCTAGACCTAAAACCTGTTTCCTGTAAACCTAGACCTAAAACCTATTTCCTGCAAACCTAGACCTAAAACCTGTTTCCTGTAAATATAGACCTAAAACCTATTTCCTACAAACCTAGACCTAAAACCTATTTCCTGCAACCCCTACTACCTAAAACCTATTTCCTATAAACCTAGACCTAAAACCTATCTCCTATAACCCCTACTACCTATTTCCTTATAAAAGTCCTACCTTTAGTAAAGAATTCTTCTTGCATAGACTATTATTTAAGGGTACAGTATTTATTAAAATTATTTCTATTACTAATAGAGTAATATAGAGGTCTTAATATAGATAGAGGGTTTACTTAAGTATAAAGGGCTTAGGCTTATGCCTAAGCCTAGGTCTAATATAAGATAGACCAAGTCTAACACTACTACTAAGCGAACACACTAGACACCTATAAAAAGGCGTAGAGGGCTTACCTCTCCTTTAAGATACTAAATACTATTATTAACGCTTATTATATTCTCCCTTAAGGCTAGTCTATAATATTTTAGTATCTTCTTCTAAATATACTATAATAGTAATAAGAGATAGACGCGCTAGATATTTAGAATAACTAGGTATAACCTAATATAGTAGAAAGGCTAATATAATAGGTCTATAGATTAATAGAATAATAGGCTTAAGACTCTACTATAATAGCTATACTATATTAATAGAATAAGGAAATACGTAATTAGATTCTATCCTAACCCTCCTCTAAGCCTGCTAGGTTTAATAATATACTACCTCTACCCTCCCCTACCTTATACTATAAACCTTTCCTAGTTAGCTTACTATATAATAGCACTAAGGTAAACTTCTTCTTCTAGTAAATAACTATAGAGTTTAAACTATATATAGATAAGGTCTTTATTAGGGATAAGGAGGCAAGATTTATATATATTTAGTCCTAGTTATTGCCTATAGTTTAGCGCGCTATAGCACTATACTTTAAGGATAGTGCACGCAAGCGTTAGGATATAAGCAGGTTTCTAGACTACCTAGCGTTCTATTATAGTAACTATTATAGGTAGGAGCGTGCCTAAGTTACGTTAGAACACTTATATTAGGGCTAAAATTAGCCTTTTATAGAGTTCTTTATAAATTTTATATAGCTCCTTATATAGTTAGGAGGTTTATACTAGGATAATAAATAGAAGCTTTTATAACTTTAGCAATCTCTTAATAGTTATATACGCTTAGTTTCCCTTAATAGGGGAGTCTCTAGGATAAACTATAATATAGCTATAGAGGAATATAAGATAATTGTAGTAGATATTAAAATAGCCTCTCTAGAACTAGGTTTTCTTTAGGCTAGTAAGTCTAAGGAACCCTAGTAGAAGTCTAACTTAGATTAGGATAGTAATATAAATATAGTAGAAGTAGTAGCCTTATTAAGTATACCTACTAAACTGCTAATATTACGTCCTAACTAGATCCTACAGGACCTATTTAATACATAGAAACTAGCTAAGGTCTATACCTAGTGTGGATAGGGTGGTTATTTTATACGTGCATGCCCTAATGCCCTATTACTGCAACTAGTAGGTGTTAAGATAGTTGTAGTATTAGTAAGCGGCCCTAATTTAGGAAACTAGCTACCCCTAACTTTAGGCTAAGTTAGGGGTATAAGAAGGATACTATAATAGAGGAATTATTAATAGTAGAGGCTATTAAGTATCCCTTAGATATTAAGGCTAGGTTAAATAATCCTCCTTTCTTTATTCCCCTCCTCCTAGGTAGAGTAGAGAACGTGTAAGTAATAGTTAATTTAGGGTGCTAGTGTTTTAGTATAGTTAAGGAAAAGTTAGCAAGATAGATTAGTAGGAACTTTATAGATATTCCCCCGCAACCCTTGCAATATACCTAGGGAATTACTAAGGGTACAAGAATTTTATAGTTAGTAGTATTAGACTATAATTTAGATAGTTAGTAGTCTTAGCTTTTAGCCTATATAGTACCTAGTCTCTCCTATTAACTAATACTAGGTAGACTATAGCTATATAGAGAGGGCGTTGTTATAGATATTCTACAAGGCGAATTAATAATTAGGAAGGCAGGAAATATAGTAGTACAAGAGAGTAGGAGACGCCTATATCCTACCTATATCTCTATTATCTTAGGTTTAGTTATAGCAGGGTTGCTAAATTAAGGACCCTAATAGGAAGATATATAGGTATAAATTTTTATAATAAATATACTAGATATTTTATAGGTAATATATAACTTGCGCCTAACAAAATATCTAGGAAGTATTAATAAGGGAAGTCCTATTAATATACACACTATCTATATTACTAATAGCATAGTTCCCTATAAGCCTAAGTATAAAACTAGAAAGATAAAGTTACTACTAGAACTATAAGAGTTTAAGGACCTGTTTAATAAAGAGTTAGCAAGCAGTTTGCTGCCCTATTAGGGTAGTATAGATTACTATATTTAGTTAATAACTCTCCTAGATAGAACCTAGCCTAACCCCCTATAGGGTCCCCTGTACCTTATATCTTATAATTAATTGCTAGAACTAAGAATATAACTTACTAGATTAATAGATAAGGGCTAGATCTAAGCAAGCTCTTCTATAGCTAGAGCTCTAGTATTGCTAGTAAAGAAGCTATTAGGTGGTTAGCGCCTTTATATAGATTACTAGATACTTAATAGCATAATAATATTAGACTAATACCTACTACTACTTATTAAGGAAACTTTATATATACTATCTAGCGTAAATTAGTTTATAAAAGTAGATATTTGCGCTGCCTTTTATAAAGTTAGAATAGTAGAAGGTTATAAGTCCTTAATAGCTTTCTATACCTAGTTTAGGTTATATAAATAGTTAGTATATCTATTTAGTCTTAGTAGTGCACTATCTACTTTCTAATAATATATTAATACCGCGCTTGTAGAGTTACTTAGATTATATATAATAGCCTACCTTAATAATATCCTAATTTATTTAGGAGGATGACTAGTTTAACTATATAGAAAAAGTAAAGTGTGTACTTACGCTATTAAAAGAAGTAGGACTATACCTAGACTTAGAGAAGTGTGCGTTCTATATTAAGGAGGTACGCTACCTAGGCTATATTATTAAGGCGGGCAAATTACTTAGACCTAACCTTAAAAAG